TCTTGTTTACTTTGCATATATATTCATTACGGTTTTGTTCTTGAAAATGGGGGATTAAGGACATGCACAACAGAAAGATCGTCAGGGAGTCATCTTGAAAGATTGCTCGTCGGATATTCAAACGATTGGAAGTGGCAGTACCTTTGGTGTTATTTACGTATAATGTGGTTTTCCACAGTTCATTATTGTATTAAAAGACTGTTATTATCACCAAGGAAACTTTGTACATTTCAAAAGCCTTAAGGATGCAATAGTGTTTCACACTATCAAAAGGATGTACAGTATTCTATCAGTAATCTAGTTATGTTGTAGTGAGAATTCTAACTCTTTTTCCTATATCCAGAATCATTTTGTTTATCAATAATTGATCCTTGCAGACATATGAACCTCTCCAATATCCTGTCTGTTCCAGGGAATCAAGGTTGTTTTCATCAAGAAAAGTGTAAATACAATTCGTCAGGACAGGCGTGATCAATTTATAGGTGGTGGACAAACAAGTTATTGACCTATTAATTTTCGGATCATCCGTTTCACCCGTTTTTTCATTTTTTTATTTTTATTTTTGTAGGAGATATATAATACCTTCAGTGATCCATTCTGTGTCTTCATTGGGATTATTCATTTGCATTGACAATGTTTGTGCAAGGGTGTTTAGATTGATGACAGATGATACAATCGAAAATTGTTATCTTGTCATTTCCTAGGGATTCCCATTTTTAGGATTTCCTTAGAGCTTGCCTAATATGATTCTTGGATATAGTTTCCTGTTCTTGTCCAGTTTTATCCCTCATCCATTCTTCTCGTTTGATCCATTCTGAATTGGGATTATATTTCTTTGGGATGCGCCAAATATTCTCTCGCCATTTCCCCCTTTTACAGTAGATTGTGGTTTTTTGAACTTCTATAACTGTTATTAAAATGTCTCTGTAAAATTTCTTAACGAACGTTTGGAATATCTTATTCTGTCGATAGAACCCTCAACGATTTTCATATCGATTTGTTTTATGCGTTTTAACTGCAGTTTATGTTTAAGTATTTCCTTGATTAGTGGAATTTCATTTAGTAATTTAATTTAATATCTCCGTTTGATCTTCCTGTATTTGAGCGTTGAAATATTTAGGATTATTAAGATCATATCTAGTATCGATAATTCCCATCTGATTTCCTCTATTTATAACTGAAGCCATTAACCATATCATTCACATATTAAGGAGAGTCATTTATCGCTTTAATTTTGCCTTCTAAGCTGTGGCTCTTTTTGTCTCTTATTTAATATTTTCTTTATTTTGTCTCCAAGCTTCCCAGTAGTTGCTAAAGCTGGGGTTGCATATATGACATAATGTAATTCTGTGATGTTTCCCAGCTTTTAGACAGTTAACAATTTGCAGTGCAGCGTTATATGCTTGCACAATATGTTTATTAAAATTTGTCATATGAATTTTGGCGGGGCTGATCTCTGTATGGCATTTGTATGTGAATGACTCTCCTTAATATTTGAATGATTTGGTTAATGGCTTTAGCGATTTTACTTCTGTTGTTTTCAAGGAATTCTGCCTTAATGTCGTATGAGTCATCTTCAATAAAATATAATCTGAATACCTGCAGTTACTAATGTCACAAGTAGATTCTTCAGTTTTATTTCTTGGGAAATGATTATTTTGTATCTCATTTATTTTAGTTTCTAACACATCATCTGTCTTATTATTTATTTCAACGCTCACCCATGAGAAGTGGGTTGTTCTATTCGGTCATATTTAATTTTATCTGATTTATTCCTGCATTTAAGAGTCTTTTATTTTGCACGATGTTAATGCAGACATAGGCAATCATGTTTGGGTTGGGATATGGTCATATTGCAGTTCCTACAGCAGTTCGCCATATTTGAATATGTTCGATCCGTGATTTTCTTTTGTGGAATGAGGTGTGTGCAGTGAAAAACGATGCCATAACGTTTTGATAATTTTGACGATTTCATTTCGCTTACATTTTATTGATTTGGCATTGGATCATTGGTATAAGTTTGGAGTTTAGGGTCTAGGTATCTCATCGTTATTGGAAGTGTTGACTATTATTATTATTATTATTATTATTATTATTATTATTATTATAATTTTTATTTTCTTTGATTTCTGGCGTTTACACATTTCTTTCCGGGTCCCGCCTAGGGACCTAAGGTTAGAAATGGCATCATGACACTTTCCACTGACAAATATATATATATATATATATATATATAACATAGATAAAGCCCTTCGTAAAGTGTGAACTGTACTTGTCAGAAAAAAATTTTGTATCTCTTTGAGGCATGGACTTCCAGGAATCCCTTGAATTAGTCTACTGCAATCTTTTCCAACCAGTGCTAGGGCTCCAACTACAACAGGGATTGTTGATGTTCCCATATGCCACATTTTTGAGATTTCTATTTCAAGGTCCTTGTATTTTGACAGCTTTTTGAATATCTTCAAAGGTACATTGCAGTCAGCAGGGACTGGCATATCAATAAGAAGGCACTTTTTTGTTTGTGGTCTTTAATAACAATATCTGGCCGGTTGGTCTTGATTGTTCTGTCAGTGTGTATTGTGTAGTCCCATAGAATTGTAACAGGTGCTATCTCTGTAACCGAGTCTGGGTGGTGTTCATACTAGTTTCTTTCAGTTTCCTTCCCGTAGAAGTTGCAGATTTTCCAGTGCAGATAGTGGCCCACTCTGTCATGCCGGGTTTTATATTCAGTGGGTGCCAATATCGTGCAACCTGATACAAGATGATCAATCGTTTCTGGATATTTATCACAGAATCTGCATTTTGGGCTAACACAATATTTTAGTAAATGTGCTTGACAATTCCTAGTTAACAAGCATTGGTTCTGTGCAGCAAGGATAAAACCATCAGTTTCAGCTTTCAACCCTGCACTACGTAGCCACTGATGGGTACGGGTTTTGTCTATGTCACCTTGTTTGGTACGGGCAGAGTATTGGCCATGAAGCGGTTTATCTTGCCATCCCTTCTGTATCTGGTCGGTTGCATTCGTCTTTGCTGACTTTTTTAAGTATTTTGCAGTTTCAGCCGGTGTATTGTGTTGTACTTGCATCTCTCCGCTCATTTGAAACCTATTATTATTATTATTATTGACAGTTAAGTGAAGAGCACGATTTAAGAAAAGATAAAAAAAGAAAACATAGTGTTTGACAATGTTAAACAATGTGTGGAAATATTGTTTAACATTTTTGTAGTTTTTAGAGTTAGTTCAAGTTGGATTAGACCTTGTCTTCCTACATACAGCCTATCAACATCTGATTTCGGCTGTTACATCCTCATTTGGGTAAGCATTTTTTCTGGTTTTGGCGTGGAATCATTTAATGTCATTCAACTTCCATTTAATAATGTAGAAGCTGTATATTACTAGTGGCATATCTAAGGTGTTGATAGCCTTCATTTTCGTGGCCCCATTATGTTTGTTTTTTTAGTATCAAACGAACTCACCTGTAACAAAATGTAATCATTATTATTATCCTTTTTGTTTTTAATATTATTGTCGTATTTAGTTTTTTGATATTGTTACTTTTATATTACCACTTCTTCTTTTAGTATCTTTTTAGTTATTGTCATTGTTGGTATTATTGATGATGCTATTATTATTATATTTATTCTTACTATTATTATCATTTTACTGTTGATTATATTCTTATTTTTATTATTCCTGTCGTTTTTATTGCTTCTGTTGTTAGTACTGTCGTTGTTATTATTATTGTGACATGACGATTTCTTTCAGTACATAACACTTTTTATTATTGTCTGTTGAAGTTATTTTCTCATTATTATTTATTGATATTTTACAAGATTTATTATGTTTTTTTTATTTCGGTTACTATTGTTATAGCGTTAATATTGTAATGACTCACGGCAAGCTGAGATCTTACTACCAACTAAAACAGAAAATAATGAAAACAATAATAGCCTGAAATGTCTGTGAACGTCAAAAAATAAATTGAATTTCTTGTGAACGAATGAAAAACTCAATTCAAGGGAATTAAATTAGATTTAACAATGGCGCTAAATGCCATATCAGGAGTATTAGTCATTATGTGACACACTGTGCCAAATCGGGATAAATTCGGAACATTTTGAAAAAGATTTGCTTAAATCATGCTTAAAAGAATTCAATTTGAGATGTAATTGTGTTTTTATTTTAAATTGAATGATATTTTTATACGTTAGTTTTTATTATAATGGTCAAGCTATTTTATTTTATTCTCCTTTTATTTCTCTTCTTTTTTTTTCTCACCCTTTTCTCTATCGTTTCATTTTCACTTTTCTCTTCTGATCGTTACCTTCCTTTCTCCCTTTATCCTTCTTTCATTCTCTCCTCCCTCTACTCCTCTTTATTTCCTCTTCCATGTTCTCTTTGTTTTTTTTCTTCTTACACTGTTTTAAGTCTTTCAATTCTCGCAATGGATTTCTTAGCACTTTTTCTTTCCTCTCTATCATTGTCTTTTTCTTTATACCTCTCATTTCTCTCTACAACATTGTACCTCTTTATCTAATTCTTATACATAGTTTTCATTCTATTTCTATTCATTCTCATTTCGGTTTTCCATTTCTTTTCTTTTTTTTAAATACTTCTTCTTAGTATTTGTGTTTCCTTGCTAGGCTTTGTTGTATCTTTTCTCAGTCTCTTCACCCAGACTTTCATTGCACTCTTCTAATTATAACATAACTTTCAGGAAACGTTAAAGTTTACTCGTTTCGCACTTATTCAATCTTTTCTTTTCTTTTCAAACCTCAAGTGTCGTCGCTCGCTTTGTATCTAATTCTACTCTTTGTTGATTTATTATTCTTGAATATCTCGTGTCTGTGAACGGTGGTCAGTAATAAGCTTTCCCATTGGTCAAACACAGTAACCAACCACAATACAAATAGATTGAATAGAAGAGAAATATACTAGGTGAACTAAAAATACCGGAATGACACTAACACATATAAATATTTTGGAGTCGTGCCCACTAAAGAAAAGAACAGGCAATGCGTAAAGGATCGAATTGGGAAAAACGGAAAGAAATGGAAAAATGAAAGAGAATCATAAAATCAGAGAAGTATGTAAGAGAACATAAAGGAAAGAAACGGGTAAATATATGAGAAATACTAATAAAAGTAAAATGGAGGGACTAGAAGAAAAAGAAAGAATTAAAATTGACAAAAATCTGTTTTGGAAGATTATTGAAAACTACGGAATGAAGTTGCAAAGAGGGATTAAATGACGTAAAATCAAGGGACACAATTTATAGTGACGCCAGAGACAGAAAAAAAGAAACAAAAAGAATTGCAATTAAATGAATAATAGAAATAAATGAAGAAAGAAAAATCGAGCAAAGAAAAATCGAGAAAGAAAAAAATGTAGAAAAGAAAATGAAGAACAAAGAAATAAAGAACGGATATGGAAAAGTAGATAAAAAGTAAAGAAATCCGGCCTTCAAATAAAATTCAACCAATAATAAAAATATAGGAAACAGTAGAACTGAGGAATAAAACTAAATGTAAAACAGACTGAAAACTAAAATTCATCAAGAACAAAAAGGTCGTGAACAATATGTAATTTCATTTTATTAAGTTAGGCGTCAGTCAGTTATATGTCATGCGTGATATATTCCAAAGTGGGGTAGAAGAAGAGACTTCATAACTTTCCCAGGGGAATCTAATGGATTCGACTAGAATTCGAACTCGGCTCTCCGATTCCTCAATCTGATCCAAGAGGGGGCATGGTAGAGTAATGTAGAAATGTACTGTGATTGACCGTTATATTTCTTGTCTTCCTGTAAGTGTTTTCTCGTCTGGATATTAAGTGTGTAAATATTGTCCAAATGTTTTGCATATCCGAGAGATTTGGCTATTTTTCTGCCATTATCAAGGTTGATTGTTATTTTCAGTGAATTTAAAATTTAAATGCGTGTATCAAGAGTTAAATGGATGTTTTCTTATCGTTGAAACAAATGGTAAATTAGGAGTATAAGGTTTATCTCTGTTATTGTATACTGTGCACATTTTTGCACAACTAGCACTCACTGTAAAAGAGACTGAGAGAAGTCGATTCGATTTTCCGAAGTGTCTTGCATTATTATAATCGTCACTGTTTACAAACCCACACTTCCTCCCCAGAGAGCTCAACCGAAATAAATTTTTCAGTAGCATATATTATTATTATCCACAGAGAGACTGTTTCGCTGTATCACAGCTCATCAGTGTGGCTAGACATCTGGTATATATATATATATATATACGCACCATATTTCCATTCAAGTTTGGACATATTATGACTTTATCTTATGTAATCCTCTCGTATTCTCTGATCGGCTTCCTATTGCTGATATGAAGGCACCGTAGCTATTTTTCTTTTCTTTTCTTTTCCCAAGTACTTCTTCAGCAGTGAAATGACCAACATTGTATATCAATATTTGAGTGTATCTGGATAAAAAAGTAGAACCTAATTATTTAAATTCGTATCTAACAGTAATATAAAAGCTAGATCATCCCTTTAATGTAATGGTCATTAAAAGCGAAATTGAAAAATCTTTCATATCGTAAAATATGAATAGCATTTGAAGTAAAATATAATATATACAGAATAGATTTTTTAAAATGCCTGTCAAAGAAAGAAACGAAAAATTATTAATTAATACAGTAAATATAAATATATATAGTACATTACGATAAAGAGTGTGATATGCATGTAAGTGCGCCACTACATTTTCGGCTAAATTCACCCCAAGCAAGGTGAGAGGGTCACTAGCAGGCAAGGGGTTACAGCGTATTGAGAACAAGAGTAAAGATGCGCGTTGGAAGAGAAGGACTGGGAAAAAGATCAAGGTATCAGAAGATGTCAGTTGACATTGCATTTGGATGTTTGAAGACCATAGTTTTCAGGGTAGCAAGCAAGAGTTAGGGATTTCCACAGACGGAGAAAGAACTGAAGTAGAAGAGACGGTTACAGTTAACCGTTTCGAGAGTGAGATGATTTGGGCCGAGGTGAGAGTCTAGTAGCTCGCTTAAATTTATGCGGCCGGGCAACTAGCGAAAGTAGCTCGTCGGAGCAGTTGCCGTGAAAATACTTGTAGAAGAGACAGAAGGAAGCCACAGGACGTCTGTGATAAATCGACTGTAGACGATATTCCAGGACAGGACCTACCTTATTACATATTCGTCGCATAAATTTTCGAGGACCTCGAGACGTACAGTGGTCGCAATAGACAGCAATATCCCATGGAAGGACGGATGATTGACATAGATTGAAACGATGGACTCAAACGAGAAAAACTTACAGGCACGACACATGGAACCAAGTTTCATTCCTGTAAATGAAGCTATTGATTAGATGTATTTGTTCCACCTCATTTCAGTGGACAGCGTGAGACCAAGCAGTCGTAACGAGGCGCTCTCGAGGAGTTGAACATCAGCCATTCTGATGGAAGCAAGAAGGGTTCATCGTGGTGGGTAAAGAAGAACAGTTTCGTTTTGGAGGCATTAAAATTTACACGGCATTAGAGGTCCTTCTAGAGGCCTACGGTCAGTTTATTTTTGCAAACGATGCCGGATCTACGAATAAGACAGGAGTAAATAGTAGTTTCTTCAGTGTAGAAGACAATTTGGGAGGTGATGACGTCATGAATATCGTTGATGAAGATCAGGAACAGTGTAGGGTCTAAGATAGAGCCTTAGGGAACACCAGCGTTCATGATAAAGAAGCTGGAGGAGAACCCATTTAGGACGAAATTCATTTCACGGTTTGACAAGAATGATTGTATTAAGTTAAATAATTATCCTATAATACTGTATCACTAAAGCTTAAGAAGACCAACATGCCAGACCCTATCAAACGCTTTCGAGATATGTGGACCAACAACTCCTTTATTGTGAAGTGCTTGATATACAAATTAGTTTTTGGCCGTGAGTACGTCATCGGTTGATTGGACAAAGCAGAAACCATATTACTTGTCGAAGAGTAGATTACAGTAAGGTGCTTAACCACTTCGGCGTTGATTACAGCCTCTAAGATTTTACCGAAGATTGGTAGGATACTGATATAACGGTAGTTGGACGGTCAGAAGGGTTACCAGAGTTTTTGAAGCAGGCACACCAGATGAGGACTTCCAACAGGCTGGAAAGCAAGAGTCGGTGAGGCAGTAGTTGTAAAGTTTGAATAGGACAGGAGCCAATTCAGAACACATATCTTCAAGACAATGGCTGCTATCTCATACCCACCACTAGACTTATGTGTGTCTAATTTACAGATGTCCAATACCATCGTTGGGGTTATGTGCATCTCACTCAGTCCAACCAGAGTTCTAGCGGGAAATTAGGTGTGGGTACACCAGATGTCTACCGTTGAATTAGATTAGAATATACGAGAAAAGAATTCAGCCTTATCAGCTGAAGAAGTCAGGACCTCAAATTGATTGAATAAAGAGGTATTATGTGTTTTCTGTTGTTCAACACGCAATTGCAGAGCCACCAATAAACTTTAGAACCAAACATGCGAGACGCAATACGTTACTTTCATTATGTCTTTCAGATATCATTGCTTCATTGAGGACACACGCTTGTACTCATTAGTGACAAAGAGACGGCCTGTTGCAATCAGACATGTCGCTACAGTACAGATGGAAGTAGGGATTCCAGTGGGCAGTAGCAGGTGAGGAAGCAGCTGAGAACCAAGGAAATGAACGCGATTTCACTTTATATTTTCCTTGCAGGGATGAAGGCCTCGATTCCAGCTTTAAACCAGGATGGGACCTCATCTTTGGACAAGAAAATTAAAAACAGCATTCCAGTGGACATAGCGAATGAAACCATGGAAAGAGTTCCAGTCTGCTCATTGATAACAGAAAGATGCTCTGTTGGCAGGAGGTTCTTTACTGGGGGAGAATAGACGCAAATGTTAACATACACGAAGACATGATAAGAGTTGCCAAGAGGGCAGAGCTGCGTGGCAAGACAAGACTCGGCGATGGATGTAAAAGAAAGATGAAGAAGAGAACCCTTGCAAGCATGGTTACTAGTGAAACGCGTAAGAAATTTAATCATTTGTGTGAGAGATTGAGTGATGGAAAAGTTAGGTGTTTGTATGCAAAGAAGGTCAGTTAAAGTTTGTTGAAGACATTTAGTATAGTGGGCATTGAAGTCACTGAACACAAATATGTTTGCAGATGGATGGAGAGAGATAGCCTTGTCTATATTATTGGAAATGCTATCGAGTATATCACAGTCTTGGGAGGATGGAGAACAAAAGAGAAGAGCGTCATAGATTCCCAAGTCGGCATCTATGCGGACGACACTACAATTTACTCCTGCCTCAAAAACAAATCTAGTGTCGCTGACAAAACTAACCTAGCCGTTCGTCTCGAAAAGGACTTCCAATCAGTTGTGAACTGGGGCAGGAATTGGCTGGTCAACTTTAATGCATCAAAAACAAAATTGCTATTAATCACCACAGAGATCCTTCCCTGCCCTCCATTAGAATGTCGGACGCTCAACTTCTTGATAGCATCTCTCTGCGGCGAACGGTCTCACATAGTCTGCTGACCTAAGATGGAACAAATACATTGAGTCAATTGCTTCGTCCACCGCAAGGAAAGTTGGCTCCCTGTGCCGCCCCAGGAAATTTTTCTCCCCGGAATCAATCCTTCAAATCTACAAATCAACAATTCGCCCTTGCATGGAGTATTGCTGCCATATATGGTCTGGAGACCCTACTGTTTGCCTCGGGGTTCTAGATAAGATGTAGAAACGGATATGCAATGCAATTGGCCCTGATAAGAAGGTATTAACAATAATTTATATAGGTAGGCAAGAAATCAGAAATCCGACGTAGATATTTATATAAAAATAATCACGAAAAGATGAATGGAAAGTTAAAAATAAAACATAACACATGAAAAATAGAATCACAACCTACAAATAAGAAGAGAAGAAAAATTAAAAGTGATGGATAATGTGAGAGAAAAGCTAGAGTGTGAGAGAGGGTAAAAAGAAAAGAATTTGAGAGTAAGAAGCAGATAAAGAGAGATAAAGAAAGACCGAATAAAAAAGAGGGATAGAGAAATGAATATGCAAAAAAAAAATACCGGAAGTAAATGGGCTTCAATATGTACAAAACGCTAGAGGTGTGTTAAAAAATACAAGGGAGACAATTTTAGAGAGACAAAACGAGGATAAGTATAAAGACAGATAGAGGCTTAAAAAGAGTAAGGAAAACGAAAAGACGGTGAGAGTGTAAAATATAAGGAAATAAAAATAATGACGAGAAAGAGAGAGAAAGAGAGAAAGGTACAGAGACAGAATGTGTGTCAAAAAAAAGGAGGACAAAATCAAAATGGCACCGAGATAATTCATTATACAAAGAGGAACGCTAAAAACGAATGTTAAAGAAAGATATATAAAGTAAAAGAAATGAGGTAAAGTTAAAATAGAATGGCTCAGATAAAGACAGAAAATTAAAGTTAACATCAGAAAGAAACAGTCTTAAGGAGATATATGGTTGAAAAACCGATTCTCGTACGATCACCGAAGTTAAGCAACGTCAAGACTGATCAATGCCCTCTTGGGAATACCAGGTCCTGTAAGCTTGAATATACGTGGGATGTAATGAATAATTACTGAGGATCAGAACTCTACCCTCCGTTTTCCAATTCAGGTCGTGTTCGCTATATTCACCTATACGGACATACCTTGGAAACGGTTTGAATCCACCTCTTCCTCACCCCCGACTATAGGTTAAATAGCAGAAGTTGTAACAGTGGGAATAATAATTATATCCAAAATTTATTACAATCTAAAAATATTTTTTTGGCATTAAATAAACTTCAAAAGTTTGATAAACTGTAAATAATCAATTAATTGACAGAAAGAAACAAAGAGAAAGTGTTTTAAACTGAAGAGATATTGTGAGAAACAGCGATAAAAATAAAAGACAAGGAAGGAGAAAACGAGAAAAGTTAGAGAAAGAATTAAAATAAAAAAAAGAAAAAGACAAAGAAAAGTGGAAGAGAAATGAAATGCCCAATGGAAAAGAATTGGGGAAAACAGAGACGAGAAAATGGAAAACTTTGATGAAAGAAGAAAAGAGAGAACGAGAGTGAGGAATAATAAAAATCTCATAAAATGCAAGAGGGAAAAAAGAAAAAGAGGGTAAGTGAGAAACGGAATTAGAGGAAAATAGATTTAATGGTGAGCTGTTTGCATAGATAGATAGATAGATAGATAGATAGATAGATAGATAGATAATGAACCGAATGAGATAGATAGATAGATAGATAGATAGATAGATAGATAGATAGATAGATAATGAACCGAATGAGATAGATAGATAGATAGATAGATAGATAGATAGATAGATAGATAGATAGATAGATAGATAATGAACCGAATGGGATGGATACATACATACATACATACATACATACATACATACATACATACATACATGAACCGAATATAATAGATAGATAGATAGATAGATAGATAATGAACCGAATGAGATAGATAGATAGATAGATAGATAGATAGATAGATAGATAGATACATACATACATACATACATACATACTGAACCGAATATAATAGATAGATAGATAGATAGATAGATAATGAATAGATAGATAGATAGATAGATAGAACCGATAGATAGATAGATAGATAGATAGATACATACATACATACATAATGAACCGAATATAATAGATAGATAGATAGATAGATAGATAGATAGATAGATAGATATATAGATAGATAGATAGATAGATACAAAGAAGAGAAATGAGGTTAATCTGAGAGAGAGAGAGAAAAGGAAAAACTGCACAGAGTGAAAAGCCGAGGAATTTCAAAAGAGTAAGAGAAATAGTAAAAGTGATAAAAGACAAGCTTTTGCGTAAATCTAAGCATCTAATATGACACAATGGGCTGCTCCAGACATCTAATAACAAAAGTAGCCTCGCGGTCCAAGTCTGATATAAACAGGGACTGCAGCACATCAAATCTTTGCAATAATTGAAAAAGAGGTCCGTTCATTTGTGCCCGAGTGTGGTTATCGATCTCCGGAGTATAGGACTGAAGCTGCCGGGGCGAATACGAGTATTGATATTTGTGCCACCATTGTTCATGGAACGATCGATCTTTTTGTGGTAAAAGCTGACGTATCTATGGCTACGGAGGAGGGCATTTATGGAATGGCGCATACAGTGCAAGAAGTCAAAATCGAGACGTAGAATGCCTGACCCTTGCAACTGCTCGAATTGAAGACAGATAGTGGCCAACCTCCCATATTCGATTTCTAAATATACTCACAGAAATGTATCTCTGTCTGGAAATGTCGGTTTGTGAAAAAAGAGAAGGAAGATAAAATGGAGTTAATCAAATGGAACTTTCTTCAAAATCAAAGAATTTTCTCGAATAATGGCTTTTCCTAGCAATAATGAAATTGTCGCCGTATATAATTTCCAGGGGATTAACTAATAATTTTATAAGTTGTTTTCAAAATTCTTTCTGAATTTCTGAGATGAAGATTCATCATTATTTATATTATTTACATGTGGACTATCGCCCTCACTGTTCTTGTTATCACAATATTTCGGCCGTTGTTCCCTACGGCCTTCAAATGCTTACCTTTCCGGACATTTGGCTGATAGACATTTGGCCGACGGAATTTCACCGAAAAAGTACAAGTAAAAATAATAACAAGCAATACTTTAAATATTTTAATTAGCAGTATTATAAGGTAGGACAGGACTGATAATTACTACTGAATTTCAAGTGATTAAATTCAGTCAGTTATGTGCTATGCGTGATCATGTGTCTTTCGATACATGCATGACAAGGCAGAGTTTTCCCGCAGTATGTTGCCATTTCTATCTGTGGAAGACCAGTTGCCATCAAAGGCTATAGAACCCGGTCTGTGCTGCTATTTACCCATAGCTGGAGGGAGAAGAGGATGCATATCTTTCCCAAAGTTATTAGCCCGTAATGAAATATAATGGATTCGACTGAAATTTTTCAATCCGAGTCGCTATCCATTATTTCAACAAAAATCTAAATTTAAAGTTAAATGTTTCTTATTTCAATATTTGTTTATTGAAATGAGGATGTTTTTAAATATTTGAGTGTATTTGGGTAAAAAATAGCAGCTAAGTATTTAAATACGTATTTAACAGTAAAATAAAAGCTAGTTCATCCCTTTAAGATAATGATCATTACAAGCAAAATTGAAAGAGCTTTCATATCGTAAAATCTTAAAATTTTTTTTGCATCTTCTTTTTCTGAAAATACTTATCATCATACAGTTATATTTGAAGTAAAATATAATATATACACAATAGTTTTTAAAAAAAACTCTCAAAAAACCCGAAAAATTATAAATTAATACAGTGAATAAATATAAATATATGTAGCACATTACCATAAAGAGAGTGACATACATGCAAGTAAGCCACTAGATTTTCGGATAAATGTCATTTTGGTTAAATGTCCTTTCGGCTAATATCCGTTTGCTCAAAATGTCCGTCGGCCAAGTGCCTGATTGCCGATCTTTGTTATTTAGAAATTATTACTGTATTTAATGTACTGGGGCAGATATACGTACATAAAATAAAATGTATATACCTATAACTCGTTTAGCATAGATAAACATGTATACGTAAAAGTTTAATTTTCGTTTCCTGCTCAGTTATTGCTCGCCCCGTTTCAATGGCTAAGTCTGAAATTCCGATTGAACTGAATTACCACTTACTGTTACCAAACACATAAACAAGGGCGTTACTCTACTGAAGTCCCCAGTTGAACTACCTGGCGCCTTAAACAAAATCTGCCTATTCAGCACTTATATGAAATAATGAATCTGATATCATTTTGTGTATCATTTCGTTTCTCTCTGTGTAACAGAGGCTATACCAAATCAAACATCTATATAAAATTTAAACAATAAATCTTGTTGCGATTCTAACGTCTGTACTGGAAATTAGCAGCCAACTGACATGGCCACTAAGCCAGCATTATGATCAGCTTAGTAAATTTAACTTAAATTTGGCAGATAGTACATGTTACATGGCAGAAGGTCGAAGACTACAACATTTAATAAAGACAGTGTGCACCAAACTATTCATAAGTAAAACCATAATCATTTTCGACCGGGATGTAAGGAAGATAAAGGCAGCATTCAAATTAGAATACAAAAATTCGTAAATGAATCGAATCGATATATATATATATATATATATATATATATATATATATATATATATATATATATTTTGCCTCTCGTTATTCGATCGAGCACTCTAGAGACAATTTCAAAACAGAAGCATTAATTAATACACCGCTCTTCATTAATAAATCGAATGGCTGCTCGCGTTTATGTACGTCCGTATATAATACGTTTAAATTTCTCTGCCGTGCGACCATAGCATAGGGGTAGGAACTTTAACTAATGCCAAATATGTCATATTTCAAATTTCAATCCCTCCTTGAAGCAAGCGGATGTCTAGTCACAGTGATACAGCGAATCAGGCTTGTACGTGGATTATATATATATATATATATATATATATATAAATATATATATATATATATATATATATATATATATATTATTCGGACTATTGTCCTCATCTTTGTCGCCATATTTATCACAACGTTTCGGCCGTTGTACGCTTCTTCAGGTGGCTGGAATATCGAACTGAACCCTTTATTTCGCTCACTAGTTCTATTTCCACGTGCCATGTTTGATGGATGTCAGTTATCAGTTATCTCCTGTCAGTTTCCCTCTGAAGGTTCTCCACTGCCTTAACCGAGTATTGAATTCACACTCTCTGGGTTCTGTCACTGGATCTAACCAACGCCTTTATCTACTGTGCCATGTGTCCTTGAAGACATCTGGGTATGAATTTCTGGGTATTATGCCATGTGTCTTTGAAGACATCTGGGTATGAATTTCTGGGTATTATAAACCTAATGTTATGATAAATATGGCGACAAAGAATAATGTAAACAATATACATAATACCTCATCTCAGAAATATAAACAGATATATATATCTATATATCTATATATCTATCTATCTATCTATATATATATATATATATATATATATATATATATATATGCACTGATATCGTCAGATACAATAAACTAAATGTAATTTGAATTTCAAAATGCTACTATTTCAGGCAGATTTTAGTCTGATAAAATCGCCCCAAAGAAAATGGGGCGGATGACAGATGAAAGGAGACTGCAAACAATACTAAGCAAACAAAGTAGGAATGACTCAATGAAAAGATGTTAGAAATAGAAACATGACAAATAATCTGCACATTGATTGGAAGCATTAAATTAAAAGGAAAGAATACAGCGGAGGACTCTTCCAGTACGAATGAGGAAAACATGCAATAGGGAACAACCAGAAATATAAAAGTTTGGAATGAAATCGGCACTGGTCACGTTGAACAGTAACAAAGCAGCGGGACAAGATGGGATTTCAGTATAGATACTCACAGATTTAGATAATTTTGCCATTGGAAAGATTACAGAAATAATAAATGAAAATTATGACAGTTGCGATATAACGGTAGTTATATTATATTATTATATATTATCATGTTATATGTCATAATAATATTTTATATTATATTATTATATATTATTATGTTATATGTGATAATATGTTATATTATATTATTATATATTATTATGTTATATGTTATAATATGTTATATTATATTATTATACATTATTATGTTATATGTTATATGTTGCATTATATTATTATACATTATTATGTTATATGTTATAATATGTTATATTATATTATTATACATTATTATGTTATATATTATAATATGTTATATTATTATGTTATTATGTTATATGTTATAATAAGTTATACTATTATATATTATTATGTTATATGCTATAATAATATGTTATATTATATTATGATATATTGTTATATGTTATAATAATATGTTATTTTTTATATACTATTATGCTATATGTTATAATAATATGTTATATTATTATATTATTAGTAAATTCATTGTCGGAACACTTCATAAAAGCCAGGTGAAAATGAATATGTCCTATTATAAAATCGAATTAATCAGCCACATAACGAAACATAATATCAGGATTCTGATGAGTAGTAACAGAATTAGACCTGATTAGGACAAAATATAATTTATCTTTATAGTCACACGAGATTCATGATCGGAATGATAACAGACCGAGCAAAAGAAAAGCAGAAGCATATATAAATGCGTTTTATATACTGTACAAAATCGTTTGATTGTGAACTATACGAAGAACCGTTTGAACTCTCCGAAAGCTTCATTCTTTTTTTTTTTGGAACGTTATTAGAATAACTCAGGACTTATGCTGGCAGCAACGGCCTGCATATGGATAGATTAATTCAGTAAATATGTGGCACCTTGCATTATTAGAAATATTCATAGAAATATGATTTAATTTTTTTTTTACTCGGTTTATTAAACAGGTTGTTGATTTTTTTTTTTAAACGGAAAATAATTGAGTTGAAAATAATTCACTAAAGTTGTACTTAGACGATCCTAAGGAAAGAAGAAGGAAGGGGAAAGAAAAGAGGAAGAAAGGAAAAAAAAGGAAAGAGAGATGGATGATGCATGACCCGGTCATAAGCGAAGATAGGTGTCAGAAAGATATCTTGGCCTGCGTGTTGGCCGAATTTTTTAAAGACAATAGAGAATTGTTATTTGAAATGAAAAATCATTTAGAGGGAGAAAAAGAACCAGGCTTGATGACAGTGTATTGGCGATTGATAAGAATATCGG